TTTCCTACCCTTTATCGGCTAATAAAACATACGTTGTGAGTGGGTGTAATGTCTTGATAGACTGACAAGATAAAGCGAATACAGCTTAGTATTTTTGTTATCTCGTTATAGTGTATATTGATAAGTAACTACTGAAGACAAACTGCTGTAATATATTTTCATTTTAAAATGATATTCAAGTCCTTTGGGAAAGCAATAGATTACGTAACGTATTTTATTTTCACTCGAAAAAATATTAACAAACAACCAACTAAAATGAATTGCTTATATTATTCACATGTTTGGAAACTACTGGCTGTTATTTTAAATCCAATATTATGTTCCCGGTATATAGAAGACCTACAAGTTGTTGTTGCCTTTGGAATATTATATCCTAATATAGAGGACATTTGAGATACAGTGTCGTCCTGACAAAGGAAATTCCAGGCGGAATCACAATAATATGATTTTCTAAGTCTTTGATGTGACGAATCTCAGAAATCGATACTTTTCAATTTGTACCATTGAGTGAGTATGGTTAATGTGTATTCCAGTAAGAATAATGATTGATAGACTCGTGGTTCGTTGATATATATTTAATCAGTACAAGGTCTCACAAAAAAGGTTTTAGTAAATTACATTGGCATATACGTCTATCGATTCTATGTGATGGTCTGTATGTGAGTGTTGTTGAGCATTTATGAGTGAAGGTTTTTTTCAGCGCTTAATTAAGCTTCAATCTTTGTATTATTAAAATGGTCATAATTTAATTCTGATTAAATCTTTATTTATCCATTAACACAAAGCTAACTTACATCATTGACATACATATATTCGATGTTTATCTTTGCACGTTTTTAAGTTCAAATATCTTCAAAAGTCAGGTTATATGTGTTTAGAACTACTCTGATATTTTATATTAAAACGTACTTTAGTATTATTTGTATAGTAGAGAAATAAGAAAATGTTCATTATTGGTAACAAAAATATCAACAGCGTGAGCTTCTACAGTAGTGTTACATTTCAATGACCTCTATATGTGCAATAATATCACCAATATTACCCTTACAATGATTTATATTTGATATCCATATAAGAAAAGGTGCGTCAAAATACCTAATATAGTTATTAGCTTTGATAGCGTTTTTGCCAGGTTGTAAACATATCACTTGTCATGTCGTAATTCGATAACAATGGTCATGTAAACAAACGTTTGTTATACACTTTATTTTGCACATCTTTTTTCGTAACAATACGTTTTTATTGTCATGATATTATTGTATACGTAAAATGTGATATTCATGTATTGCTTGTTTATTTTCATGCAGATATGTTAATATAATGTATTGTAGATGATGTACTTTGTACAAATCGTAATAAAATTTCTTTTCTATTCTTTTTCTGTTCTGTTCATAAATGTTTCCAACATCCTTATAGACTAACTCTTTATACAATACAGTAGAATACGATACAGTGTATTCGTTTTAAACATTATACAATTGTCTTAGCACAATGCATTTACATGTACTTTGATGAATGAATATTTCATTGAATATTCAATTTGAAAATTATTCATGAGTTTCATGCGGCATTAATCAGTCACTATAAATAAATATAAAATGTTTGTAATTTCATATTGGAAATCAATTATTTATCATTAAAGGAATATGCTTACGAATAAATCACATATTTGTTATGGTTCTATCAAATTTTATAGCAATTAATGGAAGGTTTCCGTATGAAACACAATATTTAAACAGTGAAGTATCAGATATGTAAACAATCATGCAGCCGTAATAGAATGTCCCATACGATACAAGGATAAGGAAATTATCTAGTATGTCGGTCAAGTTATTGTTTCTTATTTCCTCATTGTAAATTTATCTAATTATTGTTTCATTGTACCTAGATAATTAAATATTGAAATTAAGTAGTATCTTGCTGTTTTCATATATTATGTATTATTTTCGATTGGATTTTCTTACATACAACATTACTGTTAACATAATACTCACCAAGAGACTCAATTTTATCAATTTTTGTACACAAGTTTGTGCTCAAAATGTTCACAAAGTTTAAACGTTGTTAAAAGATGATTATAAACAACATATTTCCGAATAACCCATAAATAGAGAATTCAACATGACCATAAATTAATATTTATGCGCAGGCTGGTCTGGATCCATGCTGGTCGCAAACGCACTATGTTGGTTTTGTCGTGACGCGGCTTAAATTTATTGCGATGTCATACTTTTGTAAGATTTGAAAAAGCTATTGTTTGAGGTTATTGCTCACAGTGGACTTCCCTGATGAAGTTGATCTGTATTCTGATCCCGAATTTACAATAACAAGTATGCTTGTGTTATGTGAATACCAAGTGCAAAAATAATACGATATATGTTATAACACTGTTAAAGGGAGACTGACAAAATCAATATGTTTATACATGAATTTCTTTTGTTAAAATAGTACTATTTATGTTGTGATATATACTCGACAATGTTCAATTAATTTCAGTATCATTAATTATCCACCGAGCCGTTATTGTCGATACGATTGGGTTTCATTCTGTCTAATTTAAAATGTCCCGGCAGAAACAATAATTTCCCTGTTGCGCAATAAAATGTAGTGTGTGTTTCCTATGTTTTATAAAGTATTGTATAAAAACTATTTTGTATGGTTTTCTATAAATTATCATTAAGACTTTTAACTATTGCCCTTTACCAGTGATACTGCAGTATACGATCGCCACTCATTATCGTGTTTACATTAAAATGTTAGCAAATAATACACAACTTTTTTAATAGTATGGAAAGCTATTGTACTCACGAGGACGTCGGGCGTCACACTGTTGTCAAGTTTTAGCGTGCAAGTTCATATCTCAAAAAGAACTGAAGGGAATGGTTTGAAACTTCACATACTTATTTGGAAACATAATAGGGGAACACTGACCAAGGCCATAACTCTAACATGAATTGGACAGAATTATATTGTGGCCGTTTTTAACTTCTACATTATCAGGAATTTTGTTTTACTATCGAGCGCGCTGACGATCGTGCAGTCCAGCAGGCATATATTATCATATGAATATCAGATCCCTTAAAGAATTATTTTTTATAAGAAATATCGTACTTTTATATCAGACATACCGTACATATTTATCAGAAATATCATATTTATATCAGAAATATCGTACATTTTATCAGAGATGTCGTACATTTTTTATCAGAGATATCGTTATTTTTATCAAAAATAACATACATTTTTTTATCAGAAATGTTGATATTTTTATCAGAAATATCATATATATTTTTTCAGAAATGTCGTACATTTATCAGACATGTTTACATCTTTATCAGAAATATCGTTCATTATTTTATTTTTTTGAAATGTAGTACATTTTCATCAGAAAAATCGTACTTTTAGTACATTTTTATCAGAAATGTCGTACATTTAGTACAGAAATGTTGTACATTTTTATCAGAAATATCAGACATTTGTATCAGTATTGTCGTTCATTTTTTTATCAAAATTGTCGTACATTTTTATCATAGATAACATAAATACTTTATTAAAATTCGTACATTCTTTTCAGAAATATTGTACATTTTATCAGAAATGTCGTACATCTCTATCAGTCATAATAATTATAATTGTACTTTTTCAGAAATATCGTACATTTTTCATCAGAAATATCGTTCATTTTAATGCGTTTTAAGTACTGTGATAATTTAACGTTTTATCGATTTAGTTCATACTTGTTTGAATATTAGTAGAAGGAAGATTGGAGACAAGAATGATCTCGTCTGGATCTCAAATACTTATAGTATTCCGGCGTCTTCGAGGTGATAAATGATATCATTTAAAAGACGTATCGTTTTTACTTGTATGTACATTTTAGTGGCCATATTTACAACATTAAAATATAACATTCTCGATCGTAAATGGCTAAATACACTTCATTATATTTTATATGATGGTTAAATTGATTCAAGCATTAATGTAATGTTATACGAGTCTCAAATATACACCATATTAACCATTTTAATTCAACCTCAAGTGCAATTTCCTCCATGTTATTGATCTGTAAATCTTTTCGACTTACAAAGCTTTGTTACTAAAATCATTTTCATTGTCATAAAAAAAATTAGCGAAAAAAGAAGCAATTACAAGATAGTTTCCTATGTTTAGTAAATTTTCTTGCAATATCAAAACACTTAGACATATAGTGAAGGTAATTGTATGAGTGGTGTACGTGGCACTGTACACCAACAAGTAAACTCATTTACTGATATTATGATATTATAAACTCATCAGAAAATAAAGTCTACTTAAATTGTATATAATGTGTTAAGATATAAATAAAAAGACACTGGAAATATTGGTACACATTATCAGTAATTTTCCCTATCTACCTATCAACACATATAGAATATTTGTCTGTATGTACTATTGATATAGCAGGGAAATCAAATACGCTAGTCTTTTTACAAAATTCTTCTTTTCTTTCCGCAAATAATTAAATGTGTGATGCCTTTCTAGCTTTCTTACAACTTTAATTCATCCAAAATACATTTATTACAATTCTAAATGTACATAAAGCAAAGAACCTTCCCGAGTAAAACTTATGCTATCTTCAAAAAGAGAAATGGAATTGTTAATATAAAACAATTTTACTTTCATTAAGCATCTTTATATTATTTATAGTTAAGAATAATGGCTTAAGCAAACTTTATAATATAAAGATGTTTTTCAATTGAAGAGATTATTATGCATTAAAAAATAAAACTAATTTCAACTCTCTTAAACCACTACCACATTGTCAAGACAGTTTTAAAAAGTAATCAAAGATGCAACATTGAAATTTACTGATATTAAGCTGTCTGACAGAATAACATTTATTTTAAGACAAAATACGTGAGTCAACAATTCATGAATTATTCAAACACGACAAAAGCAAATATTGACCAAAACTTTTTACAGTAGAAGAAAGCAAGCTATAATGCTAAGTTTATACATACTTTTTCTCTAGGTTGCCAAACTTCAACATCTACATTCATCCCTGTTGATTTAGAATTAGACCTTACGGCCCGACCCGAAGCCGCCATTTTGTTTTTAACTGTTAAATATCCCTGAATTTATGTTCTGTTCCAAAATTATTTCAATCAAACAATTATCTGATTACCAAATTGTCAGTAACGTTCCAATTTATATGAATATTGGGAAAATGTCGACACCTTCACACAATACGACTTCGTAATTCTACTGAAAGCCATTGGCTGTTGATTCAATGTTTCGGTCGCATGCCACTCTCGTCTGCTACTCTCAGGAAAATCAGACGACAAATTCCTAGTAGAGTTTCCCGCGGCACAATGTCTCTCTATTCATGCTACAATAAAATATTAAAGTGAATCAATTGCTGGGCTCAAAATTGACAGCTAGTCGATACATATTATGATTGGTTATACAGATTATAAGAGAGTTTATTTGCAAAGTATGGTTTGTTCTTTACATTCACTTGCTATTATATTGATCAAAACAAATGAAGTACTTTGAAGCTTTAAAAAGCTTTGATTGATTGTAAACATAGCAAACGAAAAAGTACAATTTTGAGTCTTTGTTAAACAATCAAAGCATAGTGATATGAACGTTATTTATTTGAATTGCATTGATTGCTTCAATATTGCGTAAAAAGTACAGTTATTGTATTTATTTTCAATGTATTATAAATTATTAAAACCGATGTTTTAGAAGTGTTTATGTCCAGAATAAATTGAAAAAAGATATTATAAAGTTTATTGGATGAATTGGATAAAACATACTGTACTGACACTAAAACTTCAAACCTTTGAACTTTTTATTTGTAATTTTGATTTACAAGTTGTAACGATGTTTGCGTAAATTGACATAAAACTGGCTGAACAAATAATTTTTTATCATACATTACACGAAGGTATTCAAATTATTACGTCTGCCAACTTGCAACGTTTACATTGACTTTCATATGTTAACCAGGTAAATACTGCTAGTGTTCACATCTTTAACTTATTGTTGACATAGATATGTACATTTGCTATCTTGGTTGATACAGAATTTATTTTAGTTCGACTGTGTAAGAAGCTATTAGCTTATAAACACACTTTCGAATCCGTTCCTGGAACCAACCAGTACTGAGCAATGAGTGTAAAGTTTCTTGCTTAAGGAAACAACGACTTGCCCCTGTCAGGGTTTGAACCCATGCGGCTAGCGATCATTAGATTACTAGTCCGACGCGTTAACCACTAGGCCATGCCGCCACAAATTTTGCTTTCTTGTTTCTTAATCTTCGTTTCTTTACAAATCAGAATACACTAATGAAATTTAATCATTGTTTAATCACGATGTTCATGTGTAAATGTTGAATTATGCTTCAGTCGGTGCTAAGGGGCGTAGACGTAGAGTGCACTTGCCAGTACCGTGCATAAACAAGCTCTATCAAACCGCGCCATAATATTTTCAATTTTGCCGTTTGAGTGTTCTTAAGGAATTCCATTTTTTCTCTATTTAATTTGAAAGACTTGACGTTAACGATTTTTTTCTGATATGAATGAATAAGGTCACATGACTTTACATTTTAATCTTTTAAATAAAAATACACAAATAAATGATGTGCGGGTAAGTCTTTATAGTCCGACTAAAAATACTCAAATATTGAGCGAGGTTAGAAGGATTGGTATTTCTATAAAACTAATAAATTCTCAGTAACCATAAGTTGGTAAGAAGATTATATTTTAGCTTCTCATTAACGAAGTCATCAGATAACTAAATTCCTGATTACATGTATATAGCAGAGGAATATTGATTATCCTTTCTCTAAATATAGAAAACAGTTTCGGAAGACATGGAAATATTTTATCAGTATATAATAATATCAACTTCTCGTATTGATACTGTGTGTAATCTCCCATGAGAAACAAGAAAACCTTATCAAAAGCCTAGTGCTCTGTTACTTTACTTGATTATACAAAGTGCTTGTACAAGATCTCTCTCAGATTTGATGACCAGGAAAATTTGTAGAGTTTAACGTATATTTTCCATTACAATTTTTTAAAAAGACTGAACGAAGCCACTTAAGGAACAAATGCATTTCCCATATATAAAGCTTTTAATCTTTGCACAACTTTGAGACTCCGTGTTTTTCTGCTTTGAAAGCATTTCTCAAGTTCCTCAAATAGGATTTGTATTCATCATACAAAATTTTTAATCTATATATTAGGCAAAATAGTAGAGAATGGAAAACTTTAAGGTACCTGCACAAAGCTAAATTTAAATGTTGCAGGATCGCTGTGACTAAGGTCATTGTTTAATGTATGCTTTAACCTGAACTCATGCTCCCTGCATCGACTTAAGTGGAATTTAACATTTACATAAGGTTATATATTTAAAAGAATCTAAACTAGAAAATGATAGAGTAATAAAGGAGTATATGAACCTCAATAAAAAAAACAACTGACGGAACTAAATAACATGACTTTTGGGAGGGGATCAGGCTCCTTGCCGGTGGTCCTGTGTTGCTGGGTCGTGTGTGGGTTGCGTTAATTGAATGCCGCCCTTCCTTGTTAATCTTGTTTTTTTTTATATATTTTATGTTATTTTGGGTTAAATAGCTTGTTTTATCTGCAACAAGCAAATCTCCTTTAGATACTTATGTTGACTGTCTGAAGCTTCAAAATTTGATGAGTTAAACGATCCTATAGTAACTAGAAATTGGCGAGATAATTCCGTGGCTATGCTAGTGAGATAAGCCGTATTTTAATCTATGTTTAATTAGGATATTTTATGTCGATTTGACGAAACAAATGCCACATAAAGCGCTAGTAGACAGTTACAAACTAGAAATAATTCTATAAAGAACAATTATGCCAAAATCCAATTGGCTGTCATATTTGGTAATGTATATTACTTAAAGATCCTGTAACACAATTTTTTCATGGTTTTATTTCATAAATATGATGCTCAAATTAAGATTTGTCAATATTGTAAGTTCCAATAAGCATTATTTTACCCCCGCACAACAAAGTTGTAAGGGGGGTATACTGGAATCAGCTTGTCCGTCCGTCCGGCTGTCCGTCCGTCCGTCCGTCCGGCCGTCCGTCCGTCGGTTTTTTCTTGTCCGCCCAATAACTTAAGATTCCTTTGACCCTTAGTCTTCATATTTGGCATGGAGGTTAGTCATGATTAGTAGATGACCCCTATTGATTTTGAGGTCATTAGGTCAAGGGTCAAGGTCACAGGGGCCTTGACTTCAAAAAGCTTGTCCGCCCAATAACGTAAGATTCCTTTGACCTACAGTCTTCATATTTGGCATGGAGGTTAGTCATGATAAGTACATGACCCCTATTGATTTTGAGGTCACTAGGTCAAAGGTCAAGGTCACAGGGGCCTTGACTTCAAAAAGCTTGTCCGCCCAATAACTCAAGATTCTTTTGACCCACAGTCTTCATATTTGGCATGGGGGTAATTCATGATTAGTAGATGAGCCCTATTGATTTTGAGGTCACCAGGTCAAAGGTCAAGGTTACAGGGGCTTTGACTTCATAAAGCTTGTCCGCCCAATAACTTTAGATTCCTTTGACCCACAGTCTTCATATTTAGCATGGAGGCAAGTCATGATTAGTAGATGACCCCTATTGACTTTGAGGTCACCAGGTCAAAGGTCAAGGTCACAGGGGCCTTGACCTCAAAAAGCTTGTCCGCCCAATAACTTAAGATTTCTTTGACCCACATTCTTATATCTGGCATGGAGGTTAGTCATGATTAGTAGATGACCCCTATTGACTTTGAGGTCACCAGGTCAAAGGTCAAGGTCACAGGGACTTTGACTTCAAAAAGCTTGTCCGCCCTTTAACTTAAGATTCCTTTGACCCACAGTCTTCATATTTGGCATGGATGTTGATCATGATTAGTAGATGACCCCTATTGATTTTGAGGTCACCAGGTCAAAGGTCAAGGTCACAGGGATTTTGACTTCAAAAAGTTTGTCCAACCATTTACTTTAGATTCCTTTGACCCACAGTCTTCATATTTGGCATGGATGTTGATCATGGTTAGTAGATGACCCCTTTTGATTTTGAGGTCACTGGATCAAAGGTCAAGGTCACAGGGACTTTGACTTCAAAAAGTTTGTCCACCTATTAACTTAAGATTCCTTTGACCCACAGTCTTCATATTTGGCATGGATGTTGATCATGACTATAAGGTGACCCCTTTTGATTTTGAGGTCACTGGGTCAAAGGTCAAGGTCACAGGGACCTTGACAAAAAAAGCTTTTCTTCTCAATTGCTTAAGAATGTCCTGTCCGCAATGTATTGATTTTGACATTTTCACATTTGAAGCATGTAGAATACATAACTTAGCAATGCACTGGCTTAGTAACTTCAGATTTGGCAGGGAGGTTGTCCTTGAGCTCTATATGGCCACTGTTGATTCTGACAAAGTGGTATGCGGGGGTATTCACGCCATGATAGTGGCAGTTCTAGTTTATAAAGATATTACCCAATTTAACATTTCATGTAAATAAAGGGACGTAATTAGAAATTTATTTTCTATACATTCTAAGTCAAATTTTCCAATAAGAAATGAATGCATGTAATTTATTGATTAAATAAAATGTGCACAAATATTTGCAATACACATTTTACATATTCTTCGATGTTTGAAAATTGTTTTATTTGCATAATTATATGCATTTATAATTTTTTGCAAGTGTGGTATACACACAGTAACAATATCAATCACAAAACATATGTAGGATCTTTAAAGGTCCAATTTATATTTAGTAATTTATAGAATGTCAATGTATTGATATAAACTTTTAACTGAAATTCTTAGTGTGACGTTAAGCTGTAATATACAAACTTATTAAAACTCATCAATTTTTAAAGGTCATATATTTACAAGGACAGTTTTTCAATCTATGTGGACTGCACATGGCTATCAAAGCACAATCAAAACAAGTCTTTTGACATTGAAGTGTGGCGTTGAGCTTTAAGCTGATCAACTGGATCTTGTTCGCTACATGTTTTTTCTGGATTTAAACGCTAGTTTTTACTTATTTTATCATATCTCAGTGGTCGATTCAATTACCACAAACGGCTTTCAGCAGTTACAAAGTTCAACTACTGATCCTATTATTCCTGAATCAGCGGTGAAAGATAGAATCTATTATACTCGATGTCTGAGATGAACTGTCACGGAGAAAGTACGTCTAGTCTGAGGATCAAACCAGAGACTCCTGGGTGACTAACTTTTTCTGTTAAGCTGATCGGGTGGATCGTCATTTCAAAATTCAACAATGAATAACAAACGTGTGTACAAAGCATGACTAGTCATT